GGGTGATCCAAGACACCGTGATGGAATGTTAGAGCCCGTTTGGTTGGAGGATTCGTTTTCTGATTCGAATTATGATTTATAGTTCGTTACAGTTATTTCTCTCACAAAAAATACACGTAAATAAAAAATAGTTATAATCTTATGATTCTAATTCATGAACAAAATGGGCTCTAGTGTTCTAAAACAAGCTTTTGAGATTACAAACTTCTCATGGATCAGTAGACTGTGTAATTTCGCAAGCCATAACCTAGCAAAGTGGAGTAGGGCTAGACTTTTTTTTGGCTCTATTTCTCAAGACCATAAGCCGCCTGAAGTACTCAAGGATACTGAGGAGTGAAGAGTGGTTCCCCTATTAACGGCCTCAGCTTCCTTTGCCTCTGCTTAATTTAAGGCTTGTTCAGTTGTATTTTTAAGTTATGGTGACTTAATTATAGATCTTGAGTTGAATTTAAGTTATACCTTGAGTTGAAGTTGTAACTTGAGCTTCCTTTGCCTCTGCTTAATTTAAGGCTTGTTCAGTTGTATTTTTAAGTTATGGTGACTTAATTATAGATCTTGAGTTGAATTTAAGTTATACCTTGAGTTGAAGTTGTAACTTGAGTTTGTGTTTAGTTGTGTATAATTGAGTTATGATTTGAGATGTGAATCTTTTTGAGTTTGTGTATGGGTGGGTCAAAACTTGAGTTTGTATTTAGATAGTATTTTAATAAAAACTCAATGATGATAAATTTTAATAGGGTATATGGATAAAGTTTTATTCGTCTTTTCATTGTGAATGCATAAAAAAAAAATTATTCAATCCGACGTAAAATAAAAAAGTTATAGCATTTTTAAAAATAAAAAAATACTATTAATTAACTTGAGTTTGAGTTTATAAACTTGAGTTGAATTTTTTTTTTTTTTTTAATTTAAGTGCAAACGAACAAGCCCTTTTCTTAGTTTCCGGGCTAGTGCTCTTCTTCTCTGGTTTCGTTAGGTCTTCTTTCTTTGGGTTTTCATTAGGTTCTCTTATTTTCTTCTGTGTTTGTTTGTGTTGAGCCTTGTGTTGGACTCTTTGGTATTTGTGCTTGGCCTCTATGGCTGTTTTCGATTAAATGAAATCTGCTTTTAGCCAAAAAAAAAAAAAGATCAAACGCCACAAAGCTTTCCTGTCATTTGATAAGAATTTTTGTAAACCAATGTTGGAACAAAAAATAAAAACAAATCTTAACCTAAAAACTTATGCTCCGTTTGGGTTTAAACTATAATTTAATTTTGTTATAGCGTTTTTTTAATTTAAATTTAAAAAATTCATGAGTTCTCTCACAAAATTTAAATACATAATCAAAACTACTGATTTGAACTCATAACCAAACATATCCTTAAAAACCCAACACAAAGCATCAAGAATGAAGACCGTGTTTGGAATTGATCCCGTTTTTAGTTTTCACATTTTTGAAAAAAGAAAAAAATGAAAAATATTTCTAAAACGGTGTTTGGAACAGTAAAGATAAAAAATAAAAATGAAAATAATTTTTTAGTTTAGTGTAAAATGAGAGAGAAATGAAAAATGACTTTGGTCATTTTTCATTTTTTGTTTTCGTTTTCTCCTCTCTCGAGCAGAGAGAGAAAAAGAGACATTAATAGATTTTTTTACATTGAAATAATCTCTTAATAAAATTACTAAATGTATTTTTAAAAATAATTTATGTCTCAGATTAAAAATATTTTTATTTTTATTTATATATAAAAAATAAAATTATTTTAAAATAAATTCTAAACCCGGTTGACGAAACTCACATTTATGCTATGTCTGGTAAGAAGGAAAGAAAATAAGATAGAAAGGAAATATGAAAGTGATGGAAAATAGCAATGAAGGAAAGGAAATTGATTTTCTTTTATGTTGTTTGGTATGAGAAGATGGAAATAATATGAGTTTACCTTCACTTGTTTGGTATTGGAAGTTAAATTGAGAGGAAAGAAAAAATTTTACTCATAAATTACTTTTATACCCTTACATTTTTTGTTTGGATATTAATAGAAAAAATGGTAGTTTAATAACTTTACTCACTTTAATTAATTGTCTCCATTTTTTTACCTCATTTTCTGCCTACTTATGAAAAGAAGAAAAATGGTGAGACCTAAATGTATTATTTTTCACTCCATTTTTTCTTTCTTTCTCTTTTCTCTCCTACCAAACAACTTACATTTCTATTTTTTTTTTCAAAATCTCTCCAGCTTCTTCCTTCTTCTACTTTTCTTTCCTACCTTGCCGAGTCTTGATAAATTTCGTGTAAGAAATAACCCAAAAGGCAAGTTTATGTCGGAACGTGGATTGACCGCTAAGCTACATCATGCCCGTTCTTTACTCTCGACAACATTTCTTTGTTTTCTTTTTGAAAAGTTAAGATTGTTGTTGACAAATCATGAAACGTGTCCTTTAGACACCTTCTGTTTGACAAAATTTATTTACTTATTTATTTATTAATGTTTGACAAGATTTATTGGGGACACTAGTAAATGTCTTTTTCTGATTAAGCCGTTGGGAAGATTCAAAGAAACTACGAGAGTAATTAATACGAGAATTCGTGTTATGATTTAAATTATAATTTATAATTTATTATAGTATTTTTTCTCATAAAAAATATACGTAAATTAAAAATAATTTTGAATCATGATTCTAAATTCGTGAACCAAACATCCACTACTCCATTGAAGATATTTGTACATATTATTCTGTTGTATTATACATTGAAACATTGTTAGAATCTTCTACTAATAATCTCTCCTCTCACCATGGCTGCAATACGGTCAAACAACTCTTTGATGATTTTAGTCATATTTTTAGGTTATGTTTATTAAGCAGATTTGACTTTAGAATTAGAATTTTGTTACAGTAAAAAGCTCACAGTCACATCTAATTTTTTTGCTACAGTAAAAAGCTCTCACATAAAGTCATATCTCAACTCGAATTAACGAACTAAATGAACTCTTATTGTTTCTGATAGTAACAATACAAGTGAGAATAAGTAAAAATTAAAAATGAACAATAGAGCTAGTTTAGCATTGTTTTTAGATTAATTTTAATTTTTTTGAAAGAAGTTGCAGCATGTTTAGATGTCTTCTAAATTATATTTTGCTGTGCAGTTTAAAAAAAAACAGTAAAATTTAACAAGTAGATTAGGGGTTGTTTTTTACACAACAACTTCTACTGTCATTGTTTAAATTTACTAACATAATCTTAATGATAAAACTTAATTCTTAATCTACCAATTTTATTTTTTTTAAATATTAAATTAATATATATTATTTTATA